CCTCAAGCCGCACCCCCATCTCCTACCTACTAACCTCATCCCGCCCCCTTGACCTGTCCATCCTCCCTGGACTGACCTATCTCCTCCCTACCTCCCCACCTACACTCACCTTTACTGGCTCCATCCCCACCTCTTTGACCTGTCTGTTTCCTCTCCACCTATCTTCTCCTCTATCCATCTTCTATCTGCCTCCCCCTCTCTCCCTATTTATTTCAGGTCCCCCTTCCCCTCCCCCATTTCTGAAGAAGGGTCTAGGCCCGAAACGTCAGCCTTTCTGCTCCTATGATGCTGCTTGGCCTGCTGTGTTCATCCAGCTCTGCACCTTGTTGTCTCGGATTTTCCAGCTTCTGCAGTTCCTACTATCTCTATTCCTACTCTTATTTCTTATGTGCTTGGAGGCAAACTGTTTACTGACCATTTAATTACATCACCAGATCACTTGTACATACATTGGCAGAAGATCTGCTAAAACTGTAAATCTTGCTAGTCGGGTCAGGTGGCACCTTCAATACAATGTTCTGTTAGGTCACCATGACAAAGTAAACAATTGTCAGCGTAGAATAGAAGCTTAAGGCCAGTTGCTCGCCTTGTGTGAATAAGTGAAGTGAAGAAAGAAAGATTGTGGTAATTGGAGCACTTTAACTTCGAGGGCACATAATTGAGAGTCTTTTATAAAATAAGATCATAAATGATGGATTTGATTACATTTGGAATGGTCTTACATACTGTAAGATATCCTTGTCGCATTTACATATGCGCGCACGGACAGGATTGCTTTAATTTAAATGATTTGTGTTTTTGCTTTCTTTTCAAAGGAAACAGCTTGTGAATTTGTGATAGACCGAGAGAAAACAAAATAGTTAAAATTGTTCATTCCCAGGACACAATATGGTTCGAAGCGTTCTGTTATAATTGAGCTGACTATGCGGTTTAGCTTCTGCTGTGACGCAGGATGTGTGATTTGTGTCGGTTGACTTATTTTTGTGGCTACATTGTGAAATGAGACAGCCAAGACAATCTCGAGATAAAGACGCAGCACAGCTGAGTTTAGGGTGATTAGTTACGTCTGAGACGGTGAATAAGCTGTTTACATCTGGCCAGCGAAGGATCAGTATCATTTCTGGGGCCTATGTACAATCACACTTGTCACGCTATAATGAATCGGCGAGAGCAGTGTTTGTGAGATACAATGGCTACGAAGATCTTGTGCTTTACTTCACAATTGTAGAGTCAAGTTTGAAAGGAAGGTGATTGGCCATTCACCCTGTAATGGACATCTCCTCCAACCATTTAGATCATGGCCGAAATCTATCAATTTCTGACCTGAAACGATTGATTTTCCACAGGTCTCTTGGGTAGACAATTCCAAAGATTCATCACCTTTTGTGTGAAAGTTTCACTTCATCTCAGACTAAAATGGCCTGCCCTGTGAGAGATTCTGTCCCTTGGTTTTAGACTCACCAACCAGGTTACACATCTTATCTACATACACCCTGATGACAGCTTGTAAGGATTTTGTAAGTTTCAATGAGAGCACTACCTCAAAAAAAAATTCTAGGAAATATAAATCCAGTCTCCTCAATCTCCCTTCCTCAGACAATCCCACCATTACAATCTGGTGAATCTCTGTTTCACTCCCATCCACAGCAAATATATCTCTCATTGCATAAGGAGATCAAAACTGGACACAATGATGAAGGTTACCTTTCTACTCAGGGAAACATAGTAATTGCATTTATTTCTCTGAATGCCCATTCTTTCGAAACATTGTATGTGTCAAAGACTTGATCAAACACGATAAATTGATAATGTTGCAATTATTTACATTTTCTTATAGTCAAGAAAAGGAACATAAAACTCTTGGGCCCATTCAAGAAACATGAGATGGTGCAGTGGGGCAGGGGAGGGACAGGGGCAGCATGGTGACTCAGTGGTTAGCACTGCTGCCTCACAGCACCAGGGACCCGGGTTTGATTCCGCCCTCGGGTGACGGTCCATGTGGATTTTGCACATTTTCCCCGTGTCTCCATGGGTTTCCGCTGCGTACTCCAATTTTCTCCCACAGTCCAAAGACATGCAGGTTAGATGGATTGGCTATGCTAAATTTCGCATAGTGTCCAGGGATGTGCATACTAGGTGGGTTAGCCATGGGAACTGCAGGGTTACAGGTATAGGGTAGGAGGGTCTGTCTGGGTGGGATGCTTTTCGGAGGGTCAGTTGGACCTGATGGGACGAATGGCCTGCTTCCACACTGTAGGGATGCTATGAATACAATTTTGGAAATTCTGGAAGGGTGGGCTAAATGGACTATATGAATTTTATCGTCTGTAAACGCGCTATAGATCTGAAGGCCAGCAGCCACTAGTACCAGGAGGCTGAGAAATCACAATAACTGCTAGATATGTAGATCTGCAAAGGATCTCATTATAAAACCAAGTAAGTTACTGCTAACTTGGACTCAAAATGCTGTACTGGGGTAATTTAGAATCGAACACTTTCAATCACTTAAGAATAGGAGTAGGCTATTTAGTCCATCAAACCTGCCCTGCCATTCTAGATCATGGCTCATTGTCTCCTCAATGCCATTTTCCTGCACTTCAAGTCATCAGTCTCTAGAAATGATCAATTTTCAACTTGAGCCTGTTCAATGATTGATCCTCCACATCCTCTGGGGTAATGTGACACATTGCAAAAACAATTCAATCCTTTACACCTTTTCAAAAGAGTATGCTCAGAGATGGTAATTATCAAAATGTCTTGTAATTATGACCTTTGCGTTAGCAGTACGCTAATGGAATATAAACACGCAATTACACCATGAAGATTTATAACTTGCAGAGTTGGGAGGAACATAAAGCATATAACTTCAAGTCAGTGAAAATTGGTTTCAGCCTTGCATCAAGATAAACGGTGTGATATAACTTCAGCTGCCTAGATACAAAGATCAGCTGAAGGTGATAGTTTCACCTCATTTCAGTTACACACGCACTGCAGTGTAGATAATGTAGAAAGAGTGGAAAATAAAGTTTAAAGGCAGCCAATTCCAGGAAGGCCAGAAGTGATGGTAACAAGGGTTTTGGCAGCTTCTGGAGGAGGGGGAGACGGGTGGGTGGAGGGTTTTTATATTGTGCATAAGAAGAAAGTGGGTAGAGTGCCCAGTGCCCATTGCCCATTAGGGGCAATGATGATAGTTCTCTCTCTCTCTCTCTCTCTCTCTTCCCACTGTTTTAATCAGTTTGGAAAATATACCTGCCTGCTATTGCCTTTGTGCCCAAACCAATGTTTTTATGCTGTGGGCAATGTCATAGTGAAATCAATAAGCTCTGAAAAACCCTCCATTATTTTCACGTGGTGGATGCCTCTCTCATGTGTGTGAGCTAATCACTCGATCCATATTACATGCCACCCACTGAAAACACCCAGTGGCAGCAAGTGATATCCAGCCCTAAATTTCCACCAGGCAACAGGAGAAGTCTCAAACTTCATTTTGAATCTGTTTCCTCCTTTTACAGAACAGACTGCCCCATTGGCTATTTGACAATGTCACTTGTTTTGTGTGCACCTTGGGAACAGGTGACAGCCTTAAGCAGTCAAATCAGACTCAGTCATGCTCAATATCTAACTGTACTAAGGACAATCTGGGCTACAACAATAGGATCCAACTGTGCTCAGAGCTAGATACTGTGTCTATTGTTGAGCAGCATTACTTTACAGACAACATGTTAGTGTACGAAGTGACACGTAATCAAAATGTTTCTCAATTCGACTGTCAAACCCTCCTGGACAACAAAAAATATTATAACCATAAGTCACACTAATTCCCTTGAGTGGATTTGATTAGCTTTTTAAGATCAGCTTTCTCATTCAGACTAGGTCTGAATTGGAGATCAGTATGCAACTCCTTGCTTGACAAAGGTTCCTCCCAAAGCCTAGCTGGCTAACTGACTGGGCTAGTCTCCTCATTTGTCTCCTGTGTCCCCAGTAATGGGAATGCAGTTCTTTTGACGAGTTCTTTACCAGGGCAATCAATAAAACTGGCTTCATCTCCCTCCCTCCTGAGAATGTGGGTTTTAAAGAAAACACAATTTGTTTATCTCGTGAGTAGGCCATCTTGTTCCAGTGGGTTTCGAAATGGGAGAAATAATCCTGGTGGCCACAATTTGGTTTTAAAATTTCACACAGTTAACTACATTTAAAATAAGGAACAGTTAAAAAGAACTCATTCTTGAATTGTTTGAATATTAAAACAGAGATCAAAAGTCTTTGAACATAACCAGTCGACATCGAAGGTGAACAGAACAACAACAGCTCCATTTCCTCTGGCTAGATAGCAGTGCATCGCTGGCAGTGTGTAACTCAGTTCTGTGTTGCCGGGAGGTGCCAGATTCAAATTGATACTTCGGGTTCAAAGGGCCCTCACAATTTCTCACTCATAATTTGCATCCTCCTCATACTGTTTTGTTAATACATGGACCATGAAGTTCTACAGGCCAGAGAGACTTTTTCACCTCTTCCTAACTATTATTTCTGCATTGCCTGATCCAAGGTCTAATTTGTAGACAAATCAGTAGATATCACATTACACCTTCAGGATTGAACTCAGAACTTGGTTTTGGGGCATTTGAATGCTGTTATGAACTTTGCTCCCCAGATTTTTTTTCTAGTAGCCATGAACTTGCTGGTAACTGATTTTACTGATCATTTTCCAGCAGTGGTAGCCTCTCATATTTTAAAAGACAAAAATACATTTTTCCTGAAATTTTATCTACCAGGTTTTTAAATAGCAACCAAGTCTTGATGAAATTCACTCTCAATGCTACTTACAGAATTATGGCATTTCAAAATTTATTCCCAATAATCTCATGTATTAATGACTTTTTAAAGGTTGCTGAAGTATACAGAAGGAACACTAGTTAAAAAGAGAAAACTTAAGAACACTTAGTTTGGAGAGACAACCTGACTTGTTTCGACTTGTAGTGAAATTCCAGACCATTCCTTACCTTCCTTTACTTCGTCTTCCAACTCCATGGCTGGAAAAGATCAGTAATGACGTGCACGACTTGGATAAATCACAGCTGGCCAATTCAAAAAGTACCTGTGCAAAGGGGCTGAATCGCACTTGAATCCAGAGTGTGCGCCAGTCAAGACACTTCTGTGAGGAGTTCAGAAAATGCTCGTTTTTGGAAGCTGTCAGTTCAGGCTCGCCCTGCCCTGTCCTCCACCCTGACTGATGACAGACACCCTTTCAGGTCTGGCCAGGCAGACAGCTGGAAAACATTCTCCCCTCCTTGATATGATCACCAATTGCTGAAGGTGGGGAGGGATGGGGGCACAGGGAGGAGATAATCACAGGAGATAGGCACACTAACTTCATAAACTAGACATTGAATTTCCTCAGTTTGGTTTGATGTGTTTTACACATTATAGTGAAACAGGAAATGCAGTAAATATCCTGTACGTCTCTCAGACTTTGCACAAAGGGAGCTTACTCATTTTAGAGACAAACTTTTCCTCAGAAGAGAGAAACGGTCACACCCAAAATGTTAAAGAGTTTTCTATTTACACTAATGGAATAACAGTGTATTTCTGACATTTTCCTGATTTCCTTTCTACACAAGTGTAAAAAAGAATTTTAGAATCATGCTGCACCAAAACCAAAGAGGAAAATTTTTCTTTCCCCTTCCTGAATTCACATTCACCAATAAATTCCAGGTTTAATCCCTGCTCTGCATAAACCAGGTTATACCACAGTTTCTGTAATTACCATCAATTAATCCTCTAAAGCCAAGCACAGGAAGCAGAAATCCACCCTCTCAGGCAAGTGTAAAAGATCCTGAGGCTCTAATGTGCAGAAGAGCAGAGGATTTATCCTTGCTGTGCTGACTGACATTTCTTCCTCAATCAACAGCACGACAAAAGATTATCTGGTCATTAGCACACTGCAGTTTGTGGAAGCTGGCTCGGCATAAATTGAGTATCACATTTCCTACATTAAAAAAAAGTGACGAGACTTCAAAAGTATTTCATTAGCTGCAAAGCACTATGATGATATAAAAGGTACTATATAAATGCAATTTTTTTTTAATCACTCTACAGTGGGAATGATAGACAAATTGCGTGTCAACTCAGTGATACTTCAGTGTGCAATAATCAAAGACTCAAGCCTAGATTTTCACTTCTGTGGAAATTTCCTGATTTGCCCCCATGGTGTCAACAGAAAGACTCCAAGTTGAAGGATCCTGGGTCTGCAGCAGGAATTCACAAACGTTGGAAGCACTTCAGACCTGGCCAAAGAGGTGGCTGAATGCTGAGGCAGCCTGGCTAAAAAGCCTATCTCAGTCCCTGGATCCTCTAGCACTCTCTGCTCATCATCCACCCACATCCCTGCCACCTCCACACTCTCATTCCAATTCAGCATCAAATCATTCCCCCAACCACTTACCATGGTACCTTCTAACAACCATGCCAGCACAGCCAGTATTTAACCTGGAGGATATCAGGAGCCATGCAGAGGTGAAATAAAAGAAAATGCTAAAAATGTAATATAGATTTTACTAGACAGACCAGATACTAAAACCAGATACAAGTTCATCAAAGCCTATTCAAACTTACTAAAATCTTAAGTGCTTAATCCTTTCCAAAAGCAAACTTCTTTCCAAACCCTGTCCAAGACAGCTAATCTTTTTACTAGCCTATTTAAGTTGTCATAGTCATACAGCTCGGAAATAGACCTTTCGGTTCAACCAGTCCATGCTGAACATAATTCCAAGATAAACTAGTCCCACCTGCCTGCTCCTGGCCCACATCCCTCCAAACATGTCTTATTCAAATAGCCATTCAAATGTCTTTTAAACATTGCAATTGTACCCGCATCCACCACTTCATCTGGAAGTTCATTCCACACGCGAACCACCCTCTGTGTAAAAATTTTTCCTCATGTCTTTTTTAAAATCTCTCTCTCCTCTCACCTTAAAAATGTACCCCCTAGTCTTGAAATTCCCCATCTTAGTCACTAAAGTGAGAACTCAGAACATGCCTTCTTCTACTAAGATAAATGTAGCTTTTGGAAATGAGCCTGCATTCAACGGAATAGAATGTTAGCCATATGGAAAATGTCAATAAATAGCTATTTAAATTATGTGAACAGAGTTTGCTTTTTAAAAGCTCCCAGTGATTTTTTTCCATTTCTAAAGAGCTGGGGATTTAAATAACTTCACATCATGACAGTTATTCAGACTTTATCCACTCTTGAAGAAGCTTTATGTCCACTACATTATTCGTGACTTCCATAATACGTGTAGCAGACAAAATGCTATCTGCTGTTTAAACTCAGCACTGCATTCAAATAGCACCACTGACTTCAGGTTCCCCTTATGCGTGAATTACCTCTTTATACTTCCGCTTTCCTCTACCAGCAAAAATTCAGTCAGTCAGAAATAGGAGCAGAGCGTCCATATTTGGGTCCCTCTCACTATTTTCGAAGTACTATAGATTTTCGACATAGAGGGTCATGTGAAAGGATGGTGGACCAAGGTCATGCAAGAGTCCAGAGATGACAATTCCTTATAATCAATGGCACTTTTTCTCTCCTTAAGAGAGCAGCTACATCAGGTTTACTTTCCATTTGAGTATAATGTGCTACAAATGGAGAAAATTAGATACATATCCGTGATTTTGAAGCATTTCTTGTTCTGGCATTTAAAGGCAAGCCTGGGAGTAGGAAATTCATTGAAGGTTTTTTCCCTCCTGATGTTGTGGCATGTCAACTTCATCAAGAAATTTAGAAACAGGAGGATCTCAGTTAGCCCCTCTATCTATTCTGCCATTTAACAAGGCTGATCTATGACTGACTTCCTTGCACATGCTTTTCATCTCATAGCTCTTAATTTTTTTGCATTATTAAAAAATATTGATCTCTTTTTAAAAAATTTTACAGTTGATTTATCATCAACTGTTGTTTGTAAATTCAAAGAGTTGGCCGTATAGCCCCCGAACCTGCTCGACCATTCAGTAACATCACGGCTGACCTGATCTTGGGCTCAGCTCTACTTTCCTGCCTGCTCCTGCCTACAACCCTCGAGACACCCATGGCTAAAAAATCTCTCCAACTCAGCCTGGAACAGATTTGATATCCCTGACTCCACAGCTCCCAGAGAGAAAGAATTCAAAATAAATTCCTCTGAGAAAAAAAATTCCTCCTCATCTGGATCAGAAATAGGTGATACTTTAATCTTAAGCTATTCAGCATCTAGCTTGTCAAGATGTCTTGGAATTTTATGTTTCAATAAACTCAGCTTTCATTCTTCTAAACTCAAATGTAAAAAAGCAAAACATGCTCAATCACACCTCATTTTCCGCTTGGGGACCCTACAGCCCTCCGGACTCAATATTGAGTTCAATAATTTTAGGGCCTAAACTCTCCCATGTCCCAGCCCCCCACCCCACACGCCAGGCCTTGTTACCACATAGCCTGCCATTACACACCCCCTGTTGTTAGTCACTAACAGTCCCATTAACAACTATTCACCCTCCCAGCCTGATGGTTAGCAACTCCTTTGTCTGTCCAACTGTCTCTCTCTCTTTGGGCTCAATCCTATCATTTACTCCCCTACCCCACCCACCTCCCTATTTTCTGCATATAAACTGACGTTTTCCCAGCCACCACCAGTTCTGAGGAAGGGTCACCGGACCCGAAACGTTAACTCTGTTTTCTCCTCCACAGATGCTGCCAGACCTGCTGAGCTTTTCCAGCAACTTTGTTTTAATGCTCCATCTTTCCTCATAAGACTACCCCTGCCAGGTTTATCCTTTCTTAAAAATAAAGCGACCAAAATTCTATGAAGTACTTGAGGTGTGTCATCACCAGTGCTTTGTACATTGGAGCTAAGGCTTGGTTAGCTCAGTTGGCTGGTTTGTAATGCAAGGTGATGACAATAGCATGATTTGATTTAATTTTGAGTTTATTGTTATGTGTACCGAAATACAGTAAAAAGCTTTGTTTACAAGTAGTACAGGCAGATCACAGCAAGCAAAGAATGTACAGATCAGAAAGACTTAGGAGGCATACAGGTTACATTGCAGGTTACGTTACTGGAGGCTAGACAGTCCATTCAACCTGATAACAGCCGGAAGGAAGCTGTTCCTGAACCTACTTCTGTATGTTCTCCCTTATGGAAGAGGATGTAGGAGGTCATTACCAGGGTGTGATGGGTCTTTGATGTTGGCTGCCTTTCTGCGGCAGTGGGCCGTGTAAATAGAGTCCATGGATGGAAGGTTGGCTTCCGTAATGGTCTGGGCTGTGCACACCACCTGCTGTAGTTTCTTACGGTCCTGGGCAGAGCAGTTGCCATACCAGGCCGTTATGCACCCGGACAGTATGCTTTCAATGGTACATCTGTAGAAGTTGGTGAGGGGCCTTATGGAAATGCCAAATTTCCTGAGCTGCCGGAGGAAGAAGAGGGGTTGTTGTATCTTCTTGACCATCGCATTTACGTGGGAAATCCAGGACAGGTTGTCCGTTATCATCACTCCGAGGAACTTGATGCTCTTCACCCTCTCAACCTCAGTTCCGTTGATGTAGATGGGGGCGTGTTCTCCTCCTTTCTTTCTGAAGTCAATGATCAGTTCTTTAGTTTTGCTGATGTTGAGAGACAGACTGTTTTCATTGCATCACGTCACCAGGCCCTCTATCTTCCTTCTGTATTTTGACTCGTCGTTGTTAGATATCCTTCCCACTATGGTGGTGTCATCAACGAACTTTGTAGATGATGTTCATTTGGAATTCAGGAACACAGTCGCAGGTGTACAGGGAGTACCCAGACTGGCTGAGGTCACCAACATCTCAACTTCACCCAGGGTCATAGAGTTTTAAGAGCTGTACGGCATGGAAACAGACTCCTTGGTCCAACTCATCCATGCCAACCAGATATCCTAAATTAATCTAGTTCCCATTTGCCAGTATTTGGCCCATATCTTGCTAAACCCTTCCTATTCATATACCCATCCACATGCCTTTTAAAGGTTGTAATTGTACCAGCCTCCACTACTTGCTCTAGCAATTTGTTCTATAAATGCATCACCCTCTGCATGAAAAAGTTGGCCCTTAGGTCCCTTTTAAATCTTTCCCCTCTCACTTTAAATCTATACCCTATAGTTTTGGACTCGCTTACCCTTGACTATTCACCCTATCCATGCCCCTCATGATTTTATAAACTTCTTTAAGGTCACCCCCTAGTCTCTGACGCCCCAGGGAAAATAGCAGAAAATAAGGTGCTTTTCTTCCAGTTTGCGCTGAGCTTTGCTGGAGTGCAGTAGAAAGCCTGAGACAGAGATGTTTGCGAGGGAGCACTGTGGTGTGTTGAAATGGGAAGCAACCAGAAGGTGAGCGT